GTAAACAAACTACTGAACATGTAAACAAACTACTGAACATGTAAACAAACTATAACTGAACATGTAAACAAACTACTGAACATGTAAACAAACTACTGAACATGTAAACAAACTATAACTGAACATGTAAACAAACTACTGAACATGTAAACAAACTACTGAACATGTAAACAAACTATAACTGAACATGTAAACAAACTACTGAACATGTAAACAAACTACTGAACATGTAAACAAACTATAACTGAACATGTAAACAAAACAACTGAACATGTAAACAAACTACTGAACATGTAAACAAACTATAACTGAACATGTAAACAAACTACTGAACATGTAAACAAACTACTGAACATGTAAACAAACTATAACTGAACATGTAAACAAAACAACTGAACATGTAAACAAAACAACTGAACATGTAAACAAACTATAACTGAACATGTAAACAAACTACTGAACATGTAAACAAACTATTACTGAACATGTAAACAAACTACTGAACATGTAAACAAACTACTGAACATGTAAACAAACAGACCAGATGAGTGAAAAAATCATTTCCTATAAAACCTCTGGATAAAACGCATGGACGACAGTTTGATATGTGTCAGTGATGCCCTTTGACCCCAGTGTGTGTGTGTGTGTGTGTGTGTGTGTGTGTGTGTGTGTGTGTGTGTGTGTGTGTGTGTGTGTAACACGGGACACCAGCTGACCCCCTCTCAGGTGAACTCCAGCAGCAGACAGATCTGTGAGGAACACAAACATGTTTAATGAGATCAGTGGAGATGTTCTGTCACTGACTGATGCTCTCCATTACCTCGGATCAATAAATGACCTATTGATCGTCCTAAAGTCGATCGGTCAGAATCGACACGCTGCCGCCGCTCTCTGTGTGTCTCACCTTGTTTAATCGTCCAATCAGCTCATTTTAAACAGCTACTAACACAGACACAAGCTGTGTGTGTGTGTGTGTGTGTGTGTGTGTGTGTGTGTGTGTGTGTGTGAGGGGGGGGGGTCTTTTATGTAGCTATAACTGATTTTATAGAGAGCACGGCCAAAACAACAAACAAAACTTTGCATTTGTTTCCCAGAAGAAACATCTTTACTCATTAAAGGAACAAAAACCAGAGAAATGTTGATCTAAAGAAAAGATGGTCCTCACAAAGATCCTCTCTATGACAGATGGCACACTCCGTCAGGACCATAACTGGTTCTAACCAAACCTCCCTCCCCTCCCTTTCCTCTCTGATTTCAGGAGGTGCTGTTGAAGAGAGCAGCTGACCTGGTGGAGGCGCTCTACGGGATGCCTCACAACAACCAGGTAAACACACCTGTTTACACTCCCTTCCACTAACTGAACTAAAGGGTTTAGTGAGGTCCTGGTTTGGCTCCTCCATGGACCTGTTGAAGAACTGGACCGACTCGAGGAGGTTGTGAGAGGAAATGAAAGCCTCAAACAAAAACCAGAGAATAGATACAAGAGTGAACCCAACAATCCAGCGGCGGACTGAGGAGACAAAGTGGTCCAGGAGCTCCAGACTGGCCCACTTTCAACTAGTAGACAACAAGTAGAAGACATACGTCCAGAGGCCAACCTCTGTAACCAAGTAATTTTACTTGAGTACTGTACTGAAAAAAACAGCTCTTGAGTTTTCAATTTGAGAATTTGTACTTGAGTAGTAATTTCAATGAATTTATTTCTGGATCTGTGCTCTGATCCGTCTCCGTCATTTCTGTCCAATTGGAGCAATGATTGTCACCCGTGTGGCTTTGTTTATAAATTATAGTCCGCTTGTAAAAATAAATAAATAAATAAATAAATAAATAAATAAATAAAACATGGATGCAAGCTGCACCAAACAAAAGAAAAATAAGGGCCCCTTTTTGGTCCAGACCAAACAAGTGAACCAAGTGATTTCCTGTTGTGATATACCCTTAACCTCTTTGTTCTATTAATGGATTTCTACCAAATAAACAAAATTGTTTCTAGTTTATTGTAACAAATATTTTTCAATTCAGCAAACTAGTAACTACAAATACCACAAATAACAACTTAATGGCCCAGTGTGAAAGTCTTCTACTAAATATTAGCTTCAGAGCTCCTTCATGAGTCACTTTTAAGTTCAAGTTCAAGTTTATTTATATAGCGCCAAGTCACAACATACGTTGTCTCAGGGCACTGTACAGAAAAAGAACAATGTAAAGAAGAAACCAGCAGGCTGCGTTGAATCACTTCATCACAGTCTCCCATCCTGAGCAAACGGTGGAGAGGAAAAACTCCCTGCTAATCAGGAAGAAACCTCCAGCAGAACCAGGCTCAGGGATTTTGTTAAAGTATTATGTTATATACGTCTATCTCAAACCGTTCCAAGCCTTGTCCTTGAAGTGGTGATGATGTAGAGACTAAATGAGTTGGGGTATAACTAGGAAGAAATAGCTTTCAGTGGTGCAGGGGGTAGACGTACACCTTCCAACCCGAGTGACGCTGGTTCAAATCCTGACCCAAGGGCATACTGTTGTTGTGTTCCTGGGCAAGACACTTAACCCAACTGTGTAAATCTGTCAGTGGGATTGTGGTGGTCTGGTTGCAGAATGGCAGCCACACTTCCACCGAGTGTGACTGAGGAGTGAACGAATGATGCAGGAAATTAAAGCATCTAGAGTTGTTAAAATAACATACCACCGGACCAAGGCAGACACTGTGTAAAGAGTTCAACTTATTGTTAAACAGTTGACGTGTGTCACAGATTCTGTGGTCCAGACCACTGTCAGGATGATCATTTCTGAGAGTCAAACAAAAGAGAAATCTAAAACTCACTGGTGTCTAGGGTGACCATAAACCTGGAGGAAGTTAAACCATCTGAACTGCCATTGTCTCCAGGATTCAGGAGTTTGCAGATCTTCCTCTGGAGCATCTCTTGTTCCTGTGTCTCTGCAGGAAATCATACTGAAGCGAGCGGCGGACATTGCTGAAGCTCTCTACAGTGTTCCAAGAAACCACAATCAGATCCCATCACTAGGCAACACTGCCTCGCACGGCATGATGGGAGTAAACTCCTTCAGCGGACAGCTGGCGGTCAACGTCTCTGAGACAACACAAGGTACCAGTAGAAATTTCACCAAAAAAAACGTATCTGAGACAACACACCACAAGGTACCAGCAGAATAAAAGTAATGTCAGTTTATTTCAACGATGAAGAGGCCGTGCCAAAAGTAAGGGGAAAAAAAATCACAAAAACAGTTAGCTTTTAACTGACAGGTTGATAGTTTAGATTTTCTAATGAAGTGAACTATGAGCTCAACAGGAGGGACGTTAGGGAGGGTTTTAGAGAACTTGTAAAGCAGATATTTAAGAAGTGATAGATGTCATTTACTGATGAATGCCACTCCTGAGCCATGCTGTTTTCTTTCTCCCAGTTGGTTACAGTCGAAACACCAGCAGCGTGTCACCACGGGGTTATGTCCCGAGCTCCACCCCTCAACAGAGCAACTACGGCAACACGGTTAGCAACAGCATGAACGGTTACGGTAACACCGGCATGCCAAACCTCGGAGTCACAACATCTCCCGGTTTCCTGAACGGCTCGTCCACAAACTCGCCGTACGGCAGTAAGTATCAAGGTAAAGACGCCACGTCACTAAAACACACAAACGTAGTTGACCTGCCAAATAAAAGTGTTAAAATGTCAGTGTTAAACTTTTCACAGTCAATTTAACTCCCCCTGGTGTTATTTTAACACTTTCTGAGTAAACTGACTTCCAGTGTTGGTGATGATTTCCTCAGTGTTGTCTCAACACTGGACAGTGTTAAACAAGCTCCGCCCATTATTAAGTCTTAACACTAATCAGTGTTGTTATATAACACAATGCAGTGTTGAAAGAATTATTCTGTAAAGCCCCGCCCTCTTCCACCTCATGTCAGTCAGACCAGTATTTTATATATATAGCATAGCATTTTTTATATATATAGTATAGCAAGGAATGCTGGTTAATATTGTAGAAATGATGTTTTTGCATGTTTTTGACCATTACAGAAGTTCACAAGTGTAAAATTTAGTGTAAAAATTAGTTGTTCTAATTAGGTGTTTTGTTCAGGTTTATCAGTTGATCAAGTTTAAGTTTGTGTTATTGGCCATAAATCAACACCATGAGTGAGAGGTACTTCCTGGTGTGTGAAGGTCGACTCCATTTCACTTATCCTGAAACTACTGTTTAATGTTATGAGTTGAGTTGCCTTATTCATAGTATTTGTTATGTGTTCTATAGGAGCTGTTATGGGTTCTGTAGGAGCTGTTATGGGTTCTGTAGGAGNTGTTATGGGTTCTGTAGGAGCTGTTATGGGTTCTGTAGGAGCTGCTATGGGTTCTATAGGAGCTGTTATGGGTTCTATAGGAGCTGTTATGGGTTCTATGGTGCACTGTGATGGTCTCTAACTGGTTTCTGTCTCTGCAGTCGTCCCCTCCAGTCCAACCATGGCTGTGTCCAACTGTAACTCGTCTCATGGAGTTTTCTCCTTCTCGGCTGCCGTCAAACAAAAAAGCGCCTTCGCTCCCGTCGTCCGGCCGCCGGCTTCTCCTCCTCCTCCCAACTGTGCCGCCAACAACACCAACGGGTTGCAAGGTAGAACCACACCTGTCCGTCCTCACACGTTTGATTTGATTTGATTTATTTATTTAACAGGAAAAGATKATTAAAAATCAAGCCTGACTCAGCATAATTGCTGTTTTACAGCAGGTTCCTGTTCTGCAGCACATAAAACACTCAGAATTACAGCATCACAATCACATCATTATACACCATAGACACAAAGACAAACACGCATACCAAATTTCAAAAAGGCAGCATTTGCAAAATAGGACATCTAAATATGAGCACAACAAAAAGTGTCCAGCAGATGGGAGACAAGATTCTTCTTAAAGGGCTGTAGTTTTGAAATGGACTTTATGTTTTGAGGAATGTCATTCCATGCTTTAGTATGAACATAGAAGAAAGACCTCTGGCCGTAACAGTTTTTAAAAGTTGGTAATATCAGTTGTCCTTTTGTAACAGATCTAGTTGAATGACCACATCCAGAATTTGATTTGGGCAACAATGCACAGAGAGTTCCATAATTGGCACCTTGGAAGATCTAAAAATATAAATTAATACCACTATACAAAACATAATTCTGAAAAGTCAAGGCATCAGACAATGAAAGAACTGTACAGTGATGAGTCCAACCAGGAAGTTTTTTATGAATTTTGTAGGCCCTGTTGTAGAGCCTAACTATGGGTTCTAAGATTTCATTTGTTGTAAGAGACCAAACAGGTAAACAGTACGACATGGTTGAGAGTATAATGGCATGAAGATAGATATTTGAAACAGAAGATGTCAGATTGGATCTAATTTTTGAATAAACGTATAATTTCTGTTTCAACTTAGTGGTTAAGACTTGTACATGATCACGATACGTCAAATGAGAATCCAAAGTAATTCCAAGATATTTGTAGGTAGTGACAATATCAAGGGGTTTGTTTAAAAAAGTGAGTTGATTTGTTATATTGAAATGTCTCCTGGGTGAGGAAAAATACATGCACACAGTTTTTTTAACATTAATTGACAAAAGATTATCTTGAAGCCAACCATGAAATGTCTGAAGATCTGCTTGTAACTGACTATTAATAGATTCAATATTGAAATCAGACAAAAAAAGAACAGTATCATCAGCATACATTAAAATATTTGAATACTTCAATATTTTTGGAAGGTCATCTATGTATAATAGGAAAAGCAATGGGCCCAGTATGCTACCCTGCGGAACTCCCACGGAACAGGGCAGAGAACCGGATACAGAGCTTCCATGTTTCACAACCTGACACCTATCAGTCAAATAAAAGGAAACATTTGTATTGCAGATGATGAAAGTTGAAAAGAAATCAACTTTTGTAGGAGAGTATAATGATCAACTGTGTCAAACGCTTTACGAAAATSAATATATACAGCACCAGTTACTTGACCTTTGTTCAAAGCAGCACGTATTTGTTCAGTGAATAAAATTAATGCAGACATGGTTGACCTTGACGTACGGAAACCATGTTGGCTATTGCTTAGCATATTATTAACTTATAGATGCTGAAGTAGTTGATTAAATAATGTTTTTTCAAGTAACTTAGAAAAAATAGGAAGAACAGAACAGTCAGTCCTCTCCTAACTGTCCATTTGTCACCTGTCTGTCCATCCTCACCTGACCACACCTCCTCCTCCACGATCAAACTCTTTTATCAAGACTTCAGAGGATGTTTTCTGAAATTAAATTTAAATATTAACATTAAATTCATGTTTCTAATAAATCAGTTTGTCTACATTAGACTCAGTGGGAGGAGTTAAGAGTAGAGGAGAATAGAATCCAGTTTTTACTTTTAGGGTGTGGGGAGTAAAAATTTCTATATTTAAAATTTTTAACATTTATTTTTATGGTTTTATTTTTATTTTTCCTCAGAATGTTAAACAACTGCATTTCTGTAGGTTATTGTTTGTTGCGTTAATGTTTTAATTTCTTTTTCTTTTGTTTTAAGATCCTATGTCTAATTTAATTAAAATGTTTTCTGATCATTTACCACTTTTTAAAATATATTTTTAAATAAACAAAATTTTCAACCTTTATTTAAAATAATAAAACAATTTTTTAATATTTAAAAGGAGTGAATATTTCAAAAAACATGTTTAATCCTACAATAACGAATATTTAAATCATGTAAAAAAATTCAGTTTTGTTTTTTTATGTTTCAGATTTGTTGAATCAAAGTGCAGATTGTGTTCTGGTTGTTTCCACTTACTGAGTTGTGTTGGTTCTGTGGGGAGACTGACGGGCCGAGCCATGTTTTATTCACTCCAACCCACAGATACATCCTGCAACACACTAACACACACACGAACACACAAACACACACATCCACCGTCTGTGGCCTTTCTGCGCAGCATGAATATTTAACGTCGACAAACCTCTCTGTCAGAAACAGTGACATCACACACACTGACTGAACACTGAGTGTGTGTGTGTGTGTGTGTGTGTGTGTGTGTGTGTGTGTGTGTGTGTGTGTGTGTGTG